AATAGAATAGAATAGAATAGAATAGAATAGAATAGAATAGAATAGAACAGAACTCACGGTTGGCAGAGTTTGATGAGGTCCTGGTCAGTGGTAGCAGGTGGCAGGCCTCTGATGTACAGGTTGGTTTTACTTAGTTGCTCCATTAACCCTCCTCCTTGACCTCCTCCTCCCGTCGTGCCAGGGCTGGGGGAGGCCATGGGTGGAGGGGGAGGAGCATAGGACTGCTGCAGAGACAAAGAGAAAAACAAACACATAGAAAGTCATATTTATGTTCCTGGTAAATAGATTTTCCATTCAATATTTACTGACTCAGATTTGATTAGAGAACCATCCATTATTTTGGGGTGTAGTACCTAAATGTACCTAACTCACTTACTGCTGCATCACTTTTCTGATTCAGCAGGAGGTGCTTCAAATGAAGGAAGCAGGATATGAGTAGATTAGATTAGCGATGCATGATGATCATGGCGCCACGTTTTAATGCAGAAACTCGCATGAAAAAGAACCACAGCAGTCCAGCTAAGATGGTGCAATAATTTCTGCACTCAGCAAACATGAAGGTCAGGACAGGAACTACAGGCTCAGTGTTACAATATTGTTAGATGTTGTGCAGCATGTTTGTAATCAGCACTGACTGTTGAGGTCTTGTAGAGCAGGCATGATAATATGTACAATGTGAACAAACTCCATTTCAGTGAAGCGTCATTAGAAAAACTAACATGAAATCTGTTGCTCTGACTTGTTTTCAGATTGAAGCAAACATGAAAATGTAAGCAGCTCTGAAGCCAGTACTTTAATATGTATTTATTATGTTTTTGTCCAGCACCCTGCTGTGGGTGCAGCTTCATCCTGGCCCCAGCACTATATCACACTTTAACTTACTAAAACATCTCATATTGGCCTCCACTGTCCAATTACACAGCTCAATACTGACTAAATGGCTTAATAAGAAGGCTGGCTCTGGCAGGGAGGAAAGGGAGTGCAAGGATTAATGAGTTTCTGGCACTGATGGAACACCCACCCTTGTTTTAGCCGCAGGCAAAGCATTAAGCTACGTTTGGAGGAAATAAACATGACAACAACATTGAAAACACTCTGTCTTGATGTTTAGAGTAAAACAACTCCACTGTCTTGACAGTCTACGCTTCAGTCCCACTGTGGGAAAAGTGGAAAGATTAAGTTTCAAGAAAAAGAGATTGTGTGTTTAGTCAAAAGAATCAGCTGAGGTGCTTTAGTGCTGAACGATGAAGTGTCTGAATGTGTCCCTCATTTATCACAGGTGTTAGGTTCCAGCACCACCCCAAGCAATAAGTGAAAAACTGTGAAGTAGGGAACGCTCTAAAAGAGCACAGCATGTCATGATCTCCTCTCTCTGCCACGCCCACTTCTCTGCTGCAATCACACTCATCACCTCCCAATCTCCCTCCTTGTGTAAATAAATAAACAATTGAAATTTAAATACTATGATAATTTAAATAAAAAAAATCCATGCTGCATGGATTGTTTATTTAAAATATTACAGTATTTAAATTATTTATTTACACAGAAGGAGGGAGATTGGGAGGTGATGAGTGTGATTGCAGCAGAGAAGTGGACGTGGCAGAGAGAGAAGATCATGACACACTGCAGGAGGGAGCTTCTCCCTGCACCTGTGGGCTGCACACACGTGCAGCAGGTGCTAAATCACAAAAAAAAAAATAAATAAATAAACAATCCATGCAGCTCATGCGGCTCATCCATCAATCAGCCAATTATGTGTCATGTTCAGTCTTACTTTGAAAAACCACAAAAGAGCGAGTCTGAGAAAGTCGAACTGCGAAGTAGCGAGGGACTACTGTGTGTGTATATATATATATATATACATCATATATTTAAATTTGTAAAACAACTACCCCAATCATTTGAGGAGTCTGTGCTTCCTAGTTTTTATTTTGCTGAAAAGTATAATTTCCTCAAATGATCGGGGTGACCAAAGATTAATCTATGGTGGGGAAGGCCACTACTGGCCACCCCCTGACTCTGCTATTGCACCTAATGGTGGATGAAGTTGCTCCCTCTCCTTCCTTCCCTCTTTCAGGCAATTTGCCAGGATCTGTCAATCTGTGCCGCCTTGGACAAGATACAAAATAAAACATAAAAAATAAAAAATAAACCATCAGCGACAGGGGACATTGGTGTATGGCTTGTTTAACTTAAAGTACTACCAATACAGATCTTATTGAAAAGATATTGCCCTTAGGTTTATAAAATACAGAATAAACTACCCACCACATGATGGACACTTGATCTTACAGCATGTCATACAAAGAACAGAAACATCTCAGCTGTATTTATTTACATTGCCTTTCTACTATTAATTCAAAATGAGCTGAATTTGATGTGTAACCAGCTTGAACAGACAAAAACAAGCATGTTTAATAGAAATTAGCAGACAAAAGTAAAAGGTGTAGTTATGAAATCTAAAAAATATATATATCATTCCATGAATGAATGCTATTGCCTGCTCCATTTCATGGCAAAGTTTCCAACTGAGATTATCTTATGATTCAACAATGTAAATTACATTAAATTAAATCTCTTGAATTGTGAGAGATGTGTTAGTTTGTTTTTAAAAATGTTTTGTGAATGAATCTGAACTCTGACCACAACAAATTTTAGGTCAAAATCAATAATTTGACTGCATTATAGCCATTTTTCAGTTGGCCAAGGGTAATCAGTTTAACCATCATCATTGTAGTTTTACATCTAACAGTTACTATTTAGGAGTTTTGTTAAATTCTGCCCTGTGGTTCTTGACCTATTTGCTAACAAAAATACTGGTTCATGCATTTGTCACGTCTAGACTGGACTATTGCAATGGTTTATTATCTGGGTGTCCAAATACTTCTTTAAAAAGTCTTCAGTTGATCCAAAAATGCTGCTGCCAGAGTCTTAACTGGAGTTAGTGGGAGAAATCATATCTCTCCAGTTTTAGCTTCTCTCCACTGGCTCCCTGTCAAATCCAGAATTGAATTTAAAATCTTACTTCTAACCTACAAAGCTCTCAACAACCTAGCTCCATCTTATATTCGATATCTTATTGTTCCATATTTTCCTAACAGAGCACTTCGCTCTTAGACTGGAGGCTTACTCAGGGTTCCTAAAGTTTCCAAGAGCAGACTGGGAGGAAGATCTTTCAGTTACCAGGATCCTCTCTTGTGGAACCAACTTCCAGTTTCTGTCTGTGAGGCTGAGATATTGTCCAGTTTTAAGACTGGACTTAAGACTTTCCTTTATGATAAATCCTATAATTAACTTGACTTGTTATGCTGCTATAGGCTTATACTACTGGAGGACAAATTGACCACATTTCCTTAAATAAATTGTTAAAATTGAATAATTTTCATTTAATACTGTTTCTCTTAATATGTGATTCTTGACCAGCCATTGTGTATCTGTTCCTCCTTCCTGTTCCTCTCAAACCCAGCCGGTCGAAGCAGATGTTCGCTTCTCCTGAGCCTGGTTCTGCTGAAGGTTTCTTCCTCATGAGGGAGTTTTTCCTTTCCACTGTCACCTTCATACTTGCTCAAGATGAGAGTTCTGTGATGGAGTTAAACTCAAAGCAGTCTGCTCCTCAAATAAATAGTGTTAAATTATTATTTTATATATGAATGTTTCTGTTCAGTGCCCTGAGATGACTTCTGTTGTGACTTGGTGCTGTATAAATAAACTGAATAGAATTTAATTTAACAGATAGACATTGTTGATGCCAAAAGTTGTGGCCAAAGTTTTAAATACACTTTTTGGTGCAGTATGTAGCACTCAGACTATGCTCAGCCATTGTTGTATTTGTTACATCATCCTGAATACAGTTTAACTCCAAATGCTATTCAGAGTCAGAGTCAGAGTCAGAGTCAGAGTTTCTTTATTGTCATTCGCACCTCATGTGGTACATGTGGTGGAGCGAAATTATGTACACAGGGTCCCAGTTACATCCAACAATAAAATGTCTAAGAAAAACAGTAATAAGATCTAAGATATGAACTAAGAAAAACATCAACTAAATATACACTAAGCACTCATAACATAAAACATTGAACATCAGCACAAACATGAACATGAGTCTGTGAGCAGATGTGCATGCATGAACACATCAACATTGAAACAGATCAGCAGCAACATGAAACAGATCAGCAGCAACATGATATGGTTTTTCACAGTGATTATTCTAGTTAGAGATTCATGAGTCTAACAGCCTCAGGGTGGAAGCTGTTCCTCAGTCTAGTGGTTCTACACTTAATGCTCCTTAACCTCCTTCCTGAGGGGAGTGGGGCAAAACGTGTGTGTGCTGGGTGGGTGGGGTCCTTCATGATGCAGGTGGCCCTCTTCCTGCATCTGGAGGTGTAGATGTCTGTGATGGTGGGGAGGCTGATTCCAACAGATTTCTGTGCAGCCTTCACCACTCTCTGCAAAGC